CTTCTTGTGTAATGATTATATTATATTTTGTGTCTGTTGTTTAATGGAAAGCTCCACATTTTAATACAGTTTAATGTGTATAAACAGTCGCTTCCTGATCAGATGATCCTAAATGAATGATAAAGAAATACATTTGCACATAAAGATGAAGAAACAAGAAAAGTACAAATCCCTCAATATTAAATGTTTGTAACATCTTTACAATTTATTTCATACAACACTTGGTTTTTGGCACTAACTATTTTTCCAAACCTTACATAGACGGATGTAAAATGCTTTGAAAAAAAAGTAAGTTATAATGCAGCGGTGGAATGAAGCTATGTTGCATTGTAACAGTTTGCAATTTGGTTATTTCCATGTTATTTGTGGCATGATATGGAAATAGGGGCCTTAAATGAACTTAAATGCATAAACTAAACATTTTTGTGTCGCCTTCGTGGCGGTTTTTGAAAGCCGATGCAGTGAACTGTATTCAGCTATTCCAAGCCGAGCTGTCTGTTTTTTCTTAAACCCAATTAAGTTGTTCTGTAGCCTGAAAATAACATCCATTTAACTTAAATCATGCCGAGCGACACAAAAAATGGGACCATCTGGGTCGCTACACACAAAACCAGTAGATTGATTGTGACTATTTCACAAACTATCATGAGATGGGTTGTCTATTGATAGGATAACACTCGAGGGGGCATTTCGCTGTAGTGAATACATCATTTCAGATAATACTCACATAGTTTTACCTTCATAGTGTTTTGAATTGAATCAGTTTACCTGCAACAGAGTCATTTTTGCGGTATGGGGTCTGAATATCCCCTCCATCACTGAACATGTGTCTATATAGTTGCAGCTCTCTAAAGATAAAATGATAAAACAATAAATGTGATTTACAACAGTAAATATCCAATTGAGGTAAAAGTTAACAGAATAGCAACACTACAAATCTGACTAACTACTTCCAGTACATAACAGCTTTCAATGCACACACTATTTGAAAGACCGTAGAAAGAAAGAGTGGTCAGTGCAAGGGCAACACAGAGAAAGTGTTTTAAATAACGGCAAACACATGGCGCATGAATAGGTTAGCTGGAAGCGGTGTCCGGCTCGTCTCATGTCAGTTTCCCACCATGGGGATCTCGGCGTGTGGGAATAGAGGCTCCATGCATGGCTGCCATGCATTGGGCCTTACGTCTTGCACATGTAGGTAAACAATCCCGCCTTGTCTGCTGAGGGGCCCGCGTTTATACATGGGCGCAAAACATGTGTTGCGGCCAAAGTCGCATCAAAGGTCACTAAGCTATGCTTTGAACACTTCAAAGCTGGGGGATGAGACTGTAGCTTTTAAGTTTTATGGCAGGTGTAAGCAGGGGTTGCTGACCAGCCCAGGGTGGTCTGCTCCCTGGTCTGCAAAAGGCTGCTGGTAGTTAGCATGGGAGAGGTGGTGGTGCGCAGAGGGCCGAGGCGTCGGGGGGAAGGGACATTACGCCACCGACCAGGCTGTGTCCAAAACGTCTCGATGCAGAAGGCCACGTTTGGACTCCTTGGATCTGAAAGGGGTTTCTGGCAGCAGACCGGACCCAGGCAGACGTCCACTTCAAGGGTCTCTGGTTTCAGAGGACCTCAGCAGGGGGACATCTAAGGCCCGCATCGGTCCCATTTGGAAACGGATACATTGGCGGAGGAGAGCGCAGGGGCCAGAGCCTGATGACCATACCACAGAGTGACCACAACACTGCCCCCTCCCCTGACAGACCAGAAACAGACCCTATAGCAAGTTCAAAGGATCCTAAGGGGTCTTGCCAAAGTTCATTTGCAGGAGTTCATTCATCTCAGCACCTGATGGGGTTCACTGCTCCTTTTTGTTTTCGTGAGGCATTTTAGTGCGAGACTTCAAAAGGCGGCCACCCCATTAGGAAGTCTTCTTTAAAAAAAATAAGTCTGCACATAATTAGATTGCTTTATAACCGCCTCTGTAACGTTTGTATCCAATTTGCTATCCATAATGAACAACAATCTATCGTCGCCTCCCGTTTGAGCTCAATGTTATTTTGTCATCAACATATTTGAATAGTGTGACATCTATTGAAAGATCTGAAAGGGATTTTGTTGATTTACAAATATTGTCTAAAACGACTCTGGAGCACACTTGCATCCTCCCTCGAGCTGCACAAGTCCAGGTTCTGCAGCAAAGCGTCAAATTCACACAGTTGGGCGTGCCTTAACACACCACATTATGAACATTGAAACCAACACAAAGTGGCTTAATAACTCCTCTGGCGACAGAGTCGGCTAAATTGATCATTTCGAATGCTTTACAATATCCATAATTATGCGAGTGGAATACAAGGTGCTGTGCGTCTGCTTGATGATGGCGGAATGACAGGCCTATAACAGCCCGCTCTTCTTGAGATAGTTGCAGACCCCCGTGCACATTGAGAAAAGCCATTACAAGCCCAGGGTGAAGCAGGTGTGTTTGCGGCACTCCACAGATGGCCGGGAGCGTTGTTAATGAGGGAACAGTAAACACCCGAAAACCTCTTCTTTTTTTTTTCTTTCTATCTCCACCGATGGTTTTTACCAAGTGGCTTGTCGAAAGCGGCGGAATGCGCGGTCAGCTCACACATTGTTTCACACATTCGATCGACCCCCGGCTAATAAGGTCCTAATACTTTAGCACAGGGTTTATGGGCTCACTGACATACGCTGTGAGGTATTTATTTACAGCCTTTAGATGAGCAGCTCGCTGGCTCTGTAGCCGCATATCAAATATGTCACAGGTTTAGTGGAAGGGTGGCAGACTTCTTAACGATTCATTCTTAATCGTTGTCTTATTACGAAGGAACACTTTGCAACACCCGGAGAAACCTTATCCTCCCAGTGTGTGTTACTGCGAGATGATTAAAAGTGCATTACCTGGGCCTGGTGATTCCCTGAAAGAGCTAAGCTAAATTGGTTGTTTTCTATGTTGTGATTAATTGAATTGAGTTTCCTCGCGCTTTGTTTTTCTGTCCCCAGTCATCACCTATTATTAAAGACACATTTTCAATACCTCTACAGGAGTCCAATTAAGGATTTACATTGTGACTGTATTTTTCACTTTAATTACTATACGTGGTACAAGCGTCGCCGTGTTTCCTTATTTATCAAACAACACAGTGGAATAGAATTCGTCAAGTAAACAGATAAGTAAGACTCTGTAATTGCTGCTACTTTTTCGGGATGAGCAAAAATATAAAATAAGAGCAGACAAAATATGATGAACGATTTAATCATTTCGCCGTTGGACAAATCACTTCACACTATATTTCTGGTGAATATTTTATCCAAAGGATACATGTAGCTAACCCTACCAGCAGAAGATTGAATGCACAATTAAAATAATTAGATTTTAATATTTCTACAACCCTCAAATACAGTAACTCAACATTTGCTCTGATATTACACCGCTGGTTTCTGAATCACGATAGCTTGTGGGACTCAGCAAAAAATGCATGGTCAGTGCTATTAATTTCATTTGACCTCATACCGGGAAAACGGTTGGAATCCTTTCATAAGTAATGTTGTAAAACATCAGCGCCGGCGTTGGTAGCGATGCCTCGTGGCCCCTGCACTCGACTGGTACACAGCGTTTGACGCCGGCATTCTGGGATTCACTCCTCATACTTAAAACCTAAATGCCCTCATTGTTGGAGCGTCGAAGTTAAGTGGCTTCAAATTGAAATTTCCTCTGGGTTTGCGGTCTGCATATGGAGCAAATAAAAGTCCCGTGGCCCTGAATAAATGTTAATTTTTGTTTGCGTGGGTCTGCAGGGTAAGAGGGATGATGACGACTTCTCGGCTAAACACGCAGCTTTTCTCTGAATAATCATCTAATTTCCCTGAAGAGATTTAATAAATAAAAAAAGGCCAGGACAACCCTCTGACAGTGGTGGTTTCCCAGGAGCGAGGCCTGCAGTAGTATGAGGCTACCCACGGTATCCTGCTTAATGCCCAATTTTCATTCTGCATCTACAGCACCTCCTCTGTGTGACCCGGCAAATATCCTCTGGGCCTCTTCATTAGTCCATGGGGCCTGTGTGCAGAGGCTCTCCAGTTAATTTGCTCCGGCGGGACTGTTTCCCCTACTGGAGATCAGCTTGGGAAAAGAAAAAAAGAAAAAAAAGAAAAGCCTGCCTCAGTCATTTAAAGATCCACTTTGCTTGATGCAAATACATATAACAGGTTTCGGTTTCTCCCTTTTCTCTCCTGTCCACTTCATCCATTTCAAGTGCTTCAGCGAATCTCTCCCGCCACTCATCGGCTTGTTTATGGGCAGCTCTCTGCTCTGATCTTGTCACGCGCCGCTGATGCCAACACGGTGGTGGATCATGGCTATAACATTTTTTTTTCTTCTTCCTTCTGCATTGTTTGGCCCTCCACACCCCCCGGACCACTCGCTGCTACAATTGACCCGCGAGTGGAGCTGATGACCAAGATGACTGACCCCCAGGGAGCGCCGCGTCTGGGAAATCATGCGAGAGATGGAGACAGACAGAGAAGGGGAGAGCAGGAGACCAAGACCAAGACCAGGACCCTGCGCGGCGCCGACGTGCAATCACACACCCGGCACACACTGTGCCCGCGTTTCCGCCGCGGCTCAGCTCGGTCCGAGTGTTTCGCGATGTGGAGACGTGCCACATTTATGCGGCGCGGGCTGTCGTTTCTGTTCTGGGTTTCGGAGGGTGGAGGGTGGCGGGTGGGGGGCCCTCCCGGTGAGCCGCTGGCGTGACGGGGCCCCGGCTCTGACAGGTGCTGCCATTCCCGACAGCGCGGCTCAGGCCACCGACCAGGCCACAGTTGTCTGGTCAAGCCGCTGAAGACCGAGGGCCGTGCTGGGAGCGTGATCCCAACTTGGCACCGACCGCAGCACCAATCGCCGGGGTCGATTTTAATTGTGTTGCTCTTGGGGGGGGGGGGAGTAGTTGGGGGGGAAGCTGAAGTGAAAGGCACGGTTGCTCAACCACACAAAACCACGAAAACAGCATTTATTGTTAGTTCAATTCAACTCTTTAATCTATCCTTGACCTCCAATAGGAATGGCTTTTTTTTTTTATTCTTTCTTTTCTCAAATTGTGAGGGTTGAGTGTTTACAGCGAATGGGTGTAATGTTTTGCCATCAGAACGAGATTGGGACACTGAGAGAAGGAACTGCTTTGATAGGAGACAAACTCTCCCCATGGAACATTTGCCAACATGCTTTTCTCCGCCGCAGGGTTGTAAGGTTGCACAAGGAAAATATTAAGCCTTTTACAGAGGGGAAGAGGATGGGCCAAGAGAGGTATTTATAAAAATGTTTTTAAAAAAAGCAGGACCACATCAGACAGGGTTGGGGCTTCATCGCTTCGCCAATCCTCCTCCAATCTGACGTCGCATTCATTAGGAAGAGCGAGCATTCCTCGCCGGCGTTTCACCTGGCAGGTCGCTGTCTGCTCTGTAATTAGCTCAGGCAAGCTATTGTTTCCATGACAACAAAAGCAAGCAAGAGGCAGACAAAACACAGACGACAGGAGAGAAAGAGAATGAGGAAAATACGGCCCGGGTGGAAATCTCGGACACATCCACAAAACGGTAACGAGGCATCCGCGGTCTTAAGAATGCCACTCTTCTCGGCACTCAATGCAAAGCAGTGGGGTGAAGCTGAAGTAAGAGAGAGGGGGGGGGCGGGGGGGTCTCATGGCGCTGCACAGAGATCAGGTAACAGTGTGAGAACGACACATTCAAACACACCACGTTGACGAGAGCGAACCTGTCGGCTCGAATTTGGGGGCCTCGGCTCGGGCTGCAGATGATCTGCTCTTTTCTTTTTGCTGGAAGGCGTCCAGGTCTTTCTCGTTGGAAGAGTCGCGCCGTGGCACGGTCCAGACAACCCGAGCAAAGGCAGCGCTCCACCCCAGCGCTCCGTCATCTGTATTGGTTGGCAGGGTGGATGCCCCGCGTGTTTGTGTGATCAAGTGTTCAACAAATGCGCCTGGGAATTGTCTTGTTCTTTAATCACCAGACGCAAAAGTTTGCTTGACAATCGTTTGATCTTCAGATGCCATCACAGTATATTTGTGTTCTTTTTATGATTATCCAGGTTCTTTCTTGTGCCTGAGATTTTAATACTTAAAGATGTGCGGGTTATGGTTCTTTCGTTGATAGTGAATATTACTTTCACATCAGGTTTCAATGAGCATCACATTGAATATCCCGTCTTTCTTTTCTTCCTGTTTGCCTATTCAGACGCATGATAACGCTTTTGGTCTATTTCGTTTGGTTTAACTTTTAGATGATAAAGTTGTACTGATGAAGTGACCATGTTTTGGCTCATCCTTCTGCTCTGAGATTTACGGGGGGTAGAATCTTTAGAGGGAAATCGTAGGTCTACAGATGTTTTCAAGATGTTTTTTCTGTCAGTTGCAGATTATCCCCTGTAGCAAAATCTCATTAAAGTGCAATTTACAGAGCAGCACTGATGTTGCCATCAACCAAAATTAAAGACATTAATTTTTCACAGAAGTTCACCGAAGTCCTCGCAATAAATGATGTAGCACTTGGTGAGAATGATTTGCCAAAGTGTTATTTTGGAGGGAGAAATTAACTCACATTAACGGAGTGAGGGAATTGGACAAAGGCTGCAAAAAAAGAGGAGATGTGCAAATGTGGCCATTTAGTCGGAGCGTGTCGGTACGGAGACATTCATATTAAGGCTACCACGCTGGGACAGATGAGGGAAGAGGGAAATATGAAACCCTGATGGAGGTTATGACACAGACTCACAGAGAGACGTGTACACTGGAGGGCTGAGGCGCCCACTCCTCTGCTCTCACTGCTGTTAAAAGCAGGAGGACTGAAAACAGACCCAACGTTCGTGTAGATTGGTTGAGGAGAAGCTCATCCTTGTCCTCGCATCTTGGAATAATAAAATGTTCTTGAATTGCTGAGGTTTTAAAAATGTACTTTGTAATTTTTGTGTGATTTTCAAAATCAAAAGTCGAGATTTAATTACTCCAGAAACGAAATGAAACTGATTTGTTTGTAGTATTTCACACTGTAGACGTTACGTGAGAATAGTTACAGTGCTTCTTACAATACAACTCATAGCAATACAGGCACTGTGCCTCTAAACAGTTAAAAGCACACTTGGTTTTTCTTCTGGTAGGAATGTTTTGGTTTATGAAAGTAAAAGGCTGACTTCAAAACAATAATTCCACGTCGCTCGCATGTATGCAAACATTTTTGAAAAATTAAAAAAAGGGAGACAACAAGAAGAGAAAAACACAGCTATACAACGGTTATAATTTAAATAAGCTTTTAAAAATGTCAAATTTCTGTCGAGCAAATGATTGAAATTCCTTGCAAAATGTTTTACCATCACAGTCGGTGTGTTCTAATTTAACACTCAGCACCGGAATATTTGACTCGTTGTCAAAGACTTGCATATTAAATGAAGTCGAGCAATATTTCTCCAGCTTAAATTTTAAATATTTTTCTTGAAAGGGATTCTTATTGAACAGTTTAATAATTATAATGATATAATTTTAACAATAATAATATGACTATGAATACTAGCAATTTAAAATTCATACAAACCTCTCTCCCATCATTTATTTCACCACGGAAATTAAAATTACCCGGGCAAGATTTTAATAAACCGTGATGCACATTTTGTGCCATGATTGATTAATTAAAAATTGACATCGAACATGGGTAGCACAGCTTCATCTTTTATGTACATAAAAATTAAAACCATGAAATGGTGCGTAAGCTGTGTAAACGTGTGGGCACCGCTCGGCTCCTGCAACAGTCTGAGAAGCTGCGGGGATGTGATTTATAGTGATGAGGATGTACTCCTGCAGACCACGTAGGGGACATAAAAAGTAGAGCATAATATTATATAGTCCAGTGATTTATGTTAGTATTTATGATTCGGAAACGGTGCAATTAACATTCATAGACTCGTGGTCTGAATAAATGCTGACTTGCATAAAAGTGTACCGGCCTGTGCAGCTCAGCGACATGATGATATATTTAAATACAGTTGTAAAAAGCAAGAAATTTGATTATTATTATTATTACTACTACTATGCAGTTGGTAGTACTACTATTACAATTTTTCGCTTTTTCCAAATTAAATGACAATCCCCCCTCCCCTGAAAGGCAGTAGCAGACTACAACAGACCTTTGTTTCAAAGTTAAAGGTCTGTCTGGCCAAAACAATGTACGGCGGACATAGGTTTAATTAAGTTAACTCATGAAAAAGATGTCACAGCATGCCGCACCCTGCCTGCCCGCTGCACATAATGTAGGCAAAAGAGCAAATGCAGGGCTTTCTTAGAGCTGACTGTCTCTCAGGCACTTGTTTTTGTCCCCAACTCACACCATCGGGGCGTCGTGCCAAAGCCTATCAACTAAATATCAAAGATGCAGAGTGTCGGATCCCTCCACTCTGCATTTTTACCTTATTTCATCCAATCCCACCTGCTGTCGTGGGTTAAGTTATTTAAATGCAGCTTCTATTGGGAGGCTGCACATGCACGCATGCACGCTGAAAATGCCATTGTCTTTTTTTCCCTTTCATCCTCAAATACGGAAATCATTTGCGAGGAAATTATAGGCCTCGCGAGGGCAGGTCCTTTGCATACTAATTTTGTTAGACTTACCTCCCGTGGTCAGTGTTCGATGTGACCATTAGTGAGCGCACTAGAATTTATTTTATTCGATTGAAAAGACAGTGTTTAGAGTAATGCGGCGGAGGCACCTTATGCCAGCTTTAAGATAAATGGTGGAGAAATCTCTTTGTCTGTTTCTGGAATCGGGCCTGCTGCAGATACGCTTCAGGAGCGTTTGAGTGTGCGACTTAAAAAGAGATTTCAGGAAAACACGTGGCCTTTGTGCAGGGACAATGGCCTCCTCATCAGGTGCCTCCCCGATATGAGAGAGACTCCTTTTCTTAAAGAATAAGTCGCGTTGCAGAGCTTGAAACAGGATATCCTCCACCACCACTGACCATTTGTCTATTCGCTGACCTCCATATCTGCAACCCCACCCCGTCTACACCCATGTCTCCGCATGATAGAATTACACAGGCCCATATTTCTTCTCAAATTATGTCGACGAAACCAGACAGGTTTTTAAAAGGTGAAAGGAAATATTTTTTACAAGCTAAAAAAATAAACACTCGTCCCTTTGGGGATTTGTAAAAAAGAAAAATAAAAAAAGGGGGGGAAGCCGAGGCAGGAGAGATTTTTTACTGTTGGGTATTATTTTGGGGGGTTGGTGAGTTTGAATGGCAGAAAAGGGGGAGGGGAGGGGTTGGGGGGGGGGGGGGCTTCAAAAGCTGCTTACCAGCAGGGGGCGGCAGCATAACGTTGGAGCAGCCCCACCCCTTCAGGCCTGTGGACTTTCTGCTAATATTGACAGGTGTTTTATCCTCCAGCTCAGGAGACATTAAAACTGTCTACACGTCAGCAAATATGATATCGATCACCGGTGAGTCGAATATGAAGCTGCCTGGACACATTTAAAATAAATTTATAAAATAATTTAAAAAAAAACACACTGTCTTTTTGTCAGTAATGAGCGTGTCTGAATTCCGGGCCCTGTCTGCTTTGACAATAACGCACCGCGCGCTTGTTGAACAAATCATGACAAAGTCTCGGTGACACCTCGCCGACCCCCCCTCCTCCCCCTCCCCCCCGCGACGAACGCGCAGCTCACCGTCGTCCTCTATGAGGGCTTCTCCCCACGTGTGGTCGGAGAGGTCATTCACAAGATGAATCACACGACGCGTCTTTCATTTCCCGGCCGCGGCCCCGGTCCGGGCCCCTGGGCGGTGTCACGTGGAAACGACGAGCGCCGGACCGGCCGGTGACTTCAGCCGACCGGCATTTAACGCATGATGTACGACGGTCATTACCGGAGGCAGGTCGGGAGGGACCGCGGGGGGGTCCGGCCGGGTTTAGAAAACGCCACGTTTCCTCACGCGCGGGACCCCGATGGGCGTCTGCCGGATGTACACGTTGGCACGACGGAAGCTCCGACTAATTGCCCGAACCTGTGAAAGGCTTTTTCTCTCACTACCTTTGACGGAAAGCTTGACCTTCGCCTCCTCGTGTCTCCTTCTTTGTGAACGCGCCTCCTGGGTGGCGCGCGGAGCCGCGGGGCCGCGGGACAGGGGCCTCGGCGTTGTGTCGCGTGTCACAATATTTGGGGTATCAGAGAGAGCAAATAGATTAGAGCGACGCAAGGTGTGAACGTCTATGAATATCGCCACATGTATCTCAGCCATGAGATTTTTTTTCTTTCTTCTTCTTCTTCTTCTTCTTCTTCTGGCTTCCTTGTTACGAGAGAAGGGTTATTGAAAATGAAACAAAAGTGCCCGACAAGTGGGAAGTTAATTGCATTTGAAAGCCAGTTCAAACCTCACATTCCTAACGCAAAGAGAGGACAGCGTGTCAAGGAGATTAAGAAGTGAATCAAGCGAGGAGAGGAAGAAAAAAAAATGAAAGGAAATACCCAAAATGAAATAATGTGCTGGACCACCTCTAGAGCGAGTACAAGCGTGGCATCTGTGTCAGATGTTGTTA